TATATGTTCAATGAAATGGTGATGTGGTGTTGGTCAAAAGCTAAGTTAGGGTGCTCCACAGAGGGGGGTTTAAGTGGGAATCTTCCTCTCTTGCTCTGAGAAACCTCAGGAGTGGTTTAATTTGGTGTTTGAGGTGGTTTTGTGGAATTAAAAAAAAGGCCCTGGATTTGAGCTATGAAATTGAGCTCAAACAGTGGGGAAGATGGTTGGAAGATAGTTGGAATGGGCTTAGGAGGTGTTGGAGGAGCCCAAGGAAATTGATGGTCTCCTTCTTTGGTCATGGGAGGTGGGTTTTAAAAAAGAGGGGAAGGAGTGGCGACCATGGTGGCTAGTGGGTGCAAAGGGCAGCTTAGGTTGGGAGAAGAGAGGTGCAAGCAACCAATTGGGATGAGTCAAACTCAGGGAGTTCAAATTTTGAGTTTTGCCCATAGGGGCCTCTCGGTTTTGGTGTTTTCCGACCACTAGGCAGGTCGTCCAGGCCAGGAATGGTGGCTTGAGTGGTCGGGTGAGCCAGTGAGAGCTTAATGATGATTATCCTTGAAGGTTTGATGGTTGATGGCAAATATATTTAGGTTTAGCCAAATATGGGAAGAGATCCCCTAAAACATGGGACCTTTGGTCCTTGGCTCATGTAGGGTGGGCTAGGTGGGTCTAGTCTGGTCCCTAAGGTCCAAAGGCTGGTTGTGGTGACCATGGCTTAGTCAATTTGAACGGGTTTGGTTTAATTCAAGGCTTGGGTTCAAATTCATGTCATGAGCTTGGATTTGAATTTGGGTTTGGCTATACTTTAAGTTTGTTTCAATTGATTGATCAAATTGGATTGGATGTTGTCATGAGAAGTTTTAAAGAGGAATTGAGTGATTTTGATTTGATTTGGTGCTCAATTTAGTGGAATTGGTTCATGATAAATTTTGGAGAATTTGGGCTAGACTTGGGTTTGGATTGGGCTAGGGTTTAGGTTATGCTCAATTGATGGTTCAAATTGGTCCAAGGGTTTGTAATGAAGATGTTTGGATATCAATTGGGAAGAAGTTTTGGAGTTATGAGGTTCAATTAGGGAGATTTGGACAAGTGCAAATTTGGGGATTTTGGGATTGTGATTGAAATTGGGTTTGAGATGGGCTCAATTGGGCTTGATTTTGGTCTCAATTGGGATTGGATATGATGGATTTGATTTAAAATTGAAATTGGGTGAGATTGAAGTCAATTTGATGGAAATTAGGGGTAAATTGGGAATTTAGACATTTGGGGGTAATTTGGAGATATTGGTCAAAAGGGGTCAATTTGGTCAAATTGGGCTCAATGGAGTGGCTCAAATTGATTTTAGGGACATTTTGAGTGATTTTAGATATTTTGGAATATTTTGAATTTTTGGGGTATGAAGAGCATTTTGGTAATTTTGGGGATTTTTAGGGGTATTTTGAGAATTTTGAAAATTTGAGATATTTTGGTCAATTTAAGTTATTTGGAATGGTTTAAAATGATTTTTGAAGAGATTTTTAGAATTTGGGTAATTTTGGGAATTTTTGAAAAATCTAGGATTTATGGGTAATTTAGTAATTTGGTGAATTTTGGGGCCAAGAAGGGTCAAAATTGGGAATTTGGCAAAATTGGGATCAATTGAGAAAGTTAATCATGAGGTCACCCTATTGAGACATGACAGATGACACCAAGGGAACTTCCATTATGGATCCTCCATGTGCTGACTTTAGCCAAACCCTAACCCAAGGCTAATGGTCTAGGGGACCATCCACATGAGTTTCCAATAGAGTAAGTGATAAAGCTAGGCAAGTTTGGCTAAGGATTCGGACCAAAAGTGAAAGTGTGTTTGTGCAAGACCAATGCCACACCACCCATGGCTAACCCTAAAGCCAAACAATGTTATGGGGACTCCTCTTGAGCTCCCTCATATTGGTCCCACCTACTAAGTGCTAGAGGTTATAACCAACATGCAAAACTTCAAGATGAGCAAAGAAGAGTTTTAAAATTTTTATTGGTGAGGGTTCCGTCACTAGTTCTCTAGGATAGTCAACAGAAAAGTCCTATGGCTAGATCCTAAGCTTCTAAGGAAGAAACTAGACCTCAACTTAAAGTAAGGTCAACAATTGACGAGGTATTTCAAACTGCTTCGGAACTATGAATCATTTTTGCTACGATCCTGTTTATGAGGTTAATTATCATTGATGGATATCAATGTCTTTGGGATGACGAGAAGTCATGAGTATCTTGATAGGGGACATTATTCTCATAACCTTGGATAGTCCACCTCTTAGAATTCTTCATAGAGTCCACCGTGTTTTTTTCATCTAGAATTCCTTCTTACCTAGCTCCATCCTCAACATAGGAATTCCAATCATTTCAATCAATCAAATCAAGTATCTTAAGTCATCTTTTGACCTCACCTGTTTAATTCAAACTCATTATCAATCTTTTTCATTTTTATCAACCATTAGTCTTCGAGTATTGAACATGATCTCCTCCATTGGATGGTTGAATTTCCATATTTGCGCCTTCCCATTTCTTTGAGCGCAATTTTTCCAATTAGAATCTTCTACTTATCCTTAACCACTTCAATTGTAAAGGTCTGACCTATGATGAGTTGACTCATTACATTAATCGAGAGTTTTCCTTATGGCTCATAACTTTAGAAATGTAATTAACTACGAGGGCTTGCCCTTGTAAGGAATGAGACCTATAATTAAAATTAATCTTATCTTACACATGTATGGTAAAAGAAAAAATCTTGATTAAGTAGACTTATGAAGACTTCCATCATCTGGTTGGTCAAACCCATTTTTTAGGTTATATTTTCTTTCTTTAATAAGATATGTTATTCTTCAAAATGTCCCTAGTAATTTGGATAGAAGTTTTCTAAAAATTTTATGGCCTGTGTCAATACACAAAAATTCCCCACCATGGCTTTTTTTTGACGACTCTGCTGAGGAATCATTCTTCTCTCCATCTATTGTAATGAATTTACATATTCCAATCATTCATCCTTCAGTTGGACTTTCTATGGGACCATCCCACTCTCTGTCTATCTAGCCTGCCTTCCTCTCTCCTTACATCTTTCTCTTTTCTCTCCACTCTCTCTTCTCTTTTATATATTGTTTCTCTCTTCTAGCTCAATCTTCTCTTTATATCTCTCACTCTCACTCTCTCTATCTCCCCCACTCGCTCGCTCACTCTATCTCTTGTTTTTCTTACTCTCTCTATTACCCTTCCCCTTCTATCCCTCTTGCTCTATCTTCCTCACGTTCTCTCTCTTCCTCCCTCCCACCCTTCATCCCTTACTCTCTCTCTTCTCCTTACCTCACTCTCTCACTTCTCCACCTCTTTCTAGACATTCTCACTCTCCCTCTATCACACTCTCTAGCTCCTATGCTCACTCCTCGCTCTCTCCCTCTCTATTGTTTCTCTCTTTTGATCTTGATATCCTCTTTTCTTTCTATTCTTTATCTCTGTCCCTTTATCTCGAACTCTCCTTCTTTCTTTCTCCCTCCCTCCCTCTCTCTTCTCACTCTCTCTCAATTTCACTATCTCCCTCCCTCCATCCCTTCCTCCCTCCCTTCATTCTGCCTCTATTTCTCCCCTTTTCATCTCTCTCAATCCCTCTTTCGATCTCCCTCTTTTTATCCTTGCACTTACTCTCTCTCTCTGTCATTCTCTCTTACTCTATCTCTCTCTCTTTCCTTAATCTATCTTGCTCCCTCTCTTTATCTCTCGCTCTCACTTACTCTTCATTCATCTCTCTCCTTCTCTTGCTCTTTTTAAAGTCATCTCTCTTCTTCTTTTTCTATATCTCTTTTTTCATTCCTTGTCTCTCTCATACTTTTCTTTCTTTCTCTATCTCCAGGCCTCATCCTAAACAGTTTATACTCCTATATAAAAATATTAATCCATGTTTTTCTTATCTTAATGGTTCCCTTAAATGTGATAACTAACAAATTATCTACTTTCATTTTTTTTTTAATATTGAATCTACATATAATTCACATATTTTTAAAGTAAAATAAAATACATTCACTCGCCTAAGTATGGGAGTCTGTTGCTCAATAGGCTTTGGAATCTCTTTATCACCAATATTAATAATTGTTAGACTTTATAGATGGATTAAAATAAACTTGAGTTAAAAATTTTAAAAAATCAAACAATGAAAATGTCTCCATTCTTTTCAATCCAAACAAAGCATAACCTAAATCTTAAAACAAAAACATGCAGAAATGTAGAATTAATGCTTATTTCAGGTGATAAATTTATTTATCATTCAGCCATAAAAAATCGTAAATTTAGATGATGGATAGAAAGCATTTAGATGATGGAATTGAATATTGATAAACTCAAGAGTGATTTAAACCATCTTAAAAACTTCCTTTAGTTTAGAAATTAATATTTAATTTGGGTTCATTTTCTTTAATTGGAAATTTATAAACTTACGGTGCAAAATTACTACTCAAACAACAAATTACACAAAAAAAAATTATAAAAAAATAAAACAACTTCCGTGAGACGAATCAGTGCATTTGCCATTTTGCCGATTTGACAAAATAAACGTCTCTCTTCAAGTTATCATTTGACCCACGCCGGGATTAATTAGTTACGATCAAAGATAATTGACTGCTTTTTTCAATCAAGATTCTCGACCTGCACGCTATTAAGCATCCCCATAATGTAAAGATGTCGAGAAATGAAAATAAAAACTAAAAAAATAATGATGTGCCACACAATAATTAGCACAGCATTACTTATTGGGAAATTTACATAGGAAGCACCCAATTCTTATGCATTTGCTTATCTCACACCCAAACTTTGATTTTTACAAACTAAGCACCTTTTTCTATATTTGATAAGATGTATGAAATGGTAGATTACACTTTTTCCTATAGGTAGGGCGCTCAGCTTGTAAAAATTAATGTTTGGGTGTGAGATAAGTAAATGCATAAGAATTGGGTGCTCCCTATGTAAAATCCTCTTAAATATTATGTTAAATGAGTCTGAAATTCTGCGATAGAATTGGTAATTGCAATAAATTAGCGATGTGGCTATTAGCACAATAAATGTGGGGATAAATGTAAAACATAGTTGGCTGAAAAAATTTTGAAGTCAGGTAACCTGATTAAGAATAGCCTGATGTGATTGAGAATAATATGGACAAAAAAAATTGCATTATTTTCCTACAAAATAGGCGCATCGGAAACAACCATGGCACTTGGAGTGGGGACAAGAGCAAGCATTTGGTTCTTGATGATTCCCATGCATGTTTCAATCTCTCGGAAAATAGGGAAGTTTTGAGGGCAGCATGGTTGCAGGCTTGCCACAGCAGAATCGAGGATCTGAGCAACCTCAGCTGGCGGGTATTGCCTCTCCGTGCACCTCTGTACATCATCAGAAAATATATAAATATAAAAAAAAAAATATATATATATATATATATATATATAGGTAAGAAAAGTAAATAAGTCATTTTTCGGACTGAGTTTGAAATGAAGATGCCATAACGTAATGAAATGCCTGCATGCCCTTATAACCACTGTACTGAATCATTTATAATCCGCTTGAAGATTTGAAGTGAACATTATCAATTTCAACTTCTTAAAATGCTACTTGTAATATCTGAAAAAGTTTTATTCCTCAATGATATATCTGGTTCACTCATTGAATTTTGCTGCTTGAACTTGTATTTATAATAATCAACTGTTATAATCATTGAATTTTCAAGTCTTACCATATTAGATTCTTGTTGATGTGCGTAATAATCCTATACATGTTCTACAATTTTATTGCATTAATTGATGTGAGATATTATCAATGTCTTTTGCCTATTAATGATAAAAATATCAATTAAATAACATAAATATGATCAACACGCACAATTTTATTATATTCCTGTACAGAATTCATGTTTTTTTTTTAATTCACATACATACCTTTATTTGTTAGGCTTTAAACTCAACTTCATGATCAGAGTAAAGCACCTAACCTTTATACCATTACCAAGTGAACTGCACATCTGTGGCAGTAGGAAAAACAAATGCGCAGCACATACAAAAATTTCATGTAGTTGCATACATGATGGGTAGATGATTTCATGTTATGAGATAGCTAGTAGTGGTGTTTGAGATCAACAGTAGTTGGGAAATTCCTTCATGAATTACCGAACCATGACACCTGATTATTGTAGTTCTTCAGTAGTGTTCAAGAGATGTTTCAGTCATAAATGTTTGAAGCACCAAGCAGCTAAAAATACGATCCCTACTGGTGTTAGCAGTTTCAATTCAATTATTTTTTGTTTAATGCAAATCAAGATGAGTGGTCCTTGTATATGCATCTTGTTTAGTTTTTTTCTTGAACTTCTGCAGTCAAGGATAGAGATTTAATACAGCCTCAGATTTTTTCTTATTTTAGTTGAATGTTTTAATAGATTCCAGGCAGCTTGGAAATGCTATTAAAAATTTTAAACAATTGTCGAAAATTTGGTGGTTTAATCAGCAGTTTCTTTAATATAATTCTTCAAAAGTTTTCTATTTTCATTTCGATTTTATCAATTTTATAACTTGGCAAAGTAAGAAATTATGTTGATGAATTTATAGTATTTCCAATTGAAATATCTTTTCTGAAGGATCTATTGCAGAACTGTTTGCAAGCTTGAAGTAAAGTTTCTAGAAAAATAGAAAACCTACACTGAAATGTCTCAAAATTTAACTTGAGTCGATTCCTTCAATTTTGAGTTCCACTCAAACTCAAAATCACGTTTTACCCAAATTAGCCCAATATAGTTTAAGTTAACCTCAGATAAGACTCAAATGATATATTACATATAATAATGTATAATATAATATATTTAAAACATATAATATGATATACATACATATATAATTAGATAAAAAGCAATTCCACTAAACTCAAAACTTGCAAGTTTAAAATAAAAAATAAACAAACCATTTGAGTCAACTTCACTCAAATCAACATCAAATTCAAGTTGAGCTAGAATCGATTTTTTTTTGCGTTCAAGTAAAACCAAACTAGAATAAATCAACTCAATAACAACATTACTTGCAAGCCATATATGTGCCTATAAAATTTTATTTGCTATTATTATATCTTAGGCAAGTCCAATTAGGCATACCAAAAAGGCTGTCAATACGCTATTACGCTTGCATGCAAATTTCTCATACTCACTCATTCTAACATAATTTTACCAGAGAAGAAAAGCTATTATGTTAGGTGAAATAATTGATACTATGTTCAATTACGACATGCATGCGTTCGGTGGAATTGGCCATTTTTGTCAACATAGTCGTTGGTTTTCTTTTTAATTATTTACAGTACATTATTCTTCTTGCTTACCTTTGATTGTATAGAAAATTTGTTTTTCTTCGATAACCAAGCACATTAGTGGTTTTATGATTAAGCATAAATAACTTCCATATTTTATGAGAGCAAATAAAAGAAATTGCAAGGCAAAAACCTATAATAAATTATAAAACCTGAATTATACAACCTAACAAGCATTAAGTTTGAGACACAATAGCTGATTTCATATTAATGAACATTATAACCATACTAGAAATATGTAGACAAACAATAAAACAAAAGTTTTTCCGTTTATGAACTCAAATAAGTTGAATAACTCTGAATATGATTTTGTTAAAATCTACATATGAATAAACAGTATTTGACTGCATGTAGGTCCGCTTGCTTATTTGTGTTTGCAAATGTACACATGTGTAACGACATATAACATGCAAGAGCGCAATTAAATGTGTTTACAACATGTTGCATAGTTTATTAATAACTTAGAAGAGCACAGACATTCAGTCAAGAAAGAGGCAAGAAACTTTTCTTAGATGAAGGTGCTATTAAAAAATGATACCTTTGTAGGTGCCTAGTGACTCAGAATTGCGAAAGAAAATTGTACAAAACTCATCATTCAAGCTATACTATTAACCCAGATTGCAAAAAAATTACAAAGATTTAAAACCGATGTTTAGGTGGCTATGTATGAAAAACGTTGTTGAATTTGTCCAAGTGTCAAATTTACTAGATTTTAAAGACTCAACATCAAAGACCGAGTAAATTATTGCATTCCTTACATATACTTGAGTGAAATATGAGAAAAAAATGCAATGTATTTTGTTATGGGTATTCCAAGATCTGAGCAAAGTCATCATAGCACTTCGGTTATCATTAATAGATTAAGCAAGCCGCCACTGGGTTATTAATAGATTAATATTTATATACTACAATCTCTGATATTCAATCAAAATGCATATGCCTAAAAATAAGCATTACCATTTAAAAAAATTATTGTATTTACATATGTAATACACAATTCTTATGGATTTATACGTCCAACATCTAAAATTTATAAAAATATTCATAAAAAAGAAGCGTTTAACTTTTAAAAAGTTAGTAAAAGTGATATTCTTTATTTGATGGTAAATATTTAAATTTTATGAATGTAAATATTAAAGTTTAGGTATAGATATATAAATTCATAACAATTGTGCCGTATCTATGTAAATGCACCTTTCTAAATTTGGGATGAGTCCAGAAGCACTTTCATGCCCAAAAATATCAAAAAAAGAACAGTATGACGGGATAGTTTTCAAGCTCTCCTTCTATCAATATCCAAAAAAAGGTGGCCCAATCCATATCTCCATATGAAAAATAGTACTAAAGTCAAATTCCATCAAAACTATAACTATAGAAGACTTAATAAAATGAGCAGTTACAATATCCAAATGTAAAAGTTTTCCAAAAAGTTGGAAGCCAAGATGAAAAATGTAGAATCATTGATATATTACAAACCAAAGATGAGGGAAGGAGATCCAAACCTGAGTAACAGGAGAGACAAGGGGCATGGATAAGATCCCGGACCAGTTCGATTCAAATGGGCGAGAGTCAGTCGGCCCACACTTTAGGGCAAGGGTTGTCGCCCACTCCTAATAGCAGCGAGAATATTTCATCAGTTTGCTTTTATTAGGTTTAGATTCTTTGTTTATTATAAATATGAAGTTGTTTATTGTATTAGGGACATTGACTTAATTGAGTTTTGTTAGGGCATATCTCTCTTTGTCGTTCCTGGATGGAGACAAGTCCATATCCATGGCATTGGGTGATAGCAACTGCATCACCACATTTTTGGTGGTGCCATCCCGAGTCTCCTTCTTTTGTCGATCATTTTGGTAGTGATTTTGGTATCTCGATCGATTGCGAGAATAGGAAACCCATGTATTTTGTATCTTTTATTTAATTAGTGCATCTTGTCTTTGTTATAGTAAATTTTTTCTCGTCTCAAATTATATTTTTGGTTGCTCTTGTTGAATTATCTCTAACCCCCTTCTCTGGTATTATTTGATATGAGAACTATTCTAACATTAATTCCAACCTAAAGTTTCTAAAATCCTCTCAAACAAAAAATACACAAAACCATAGACAAATCTTGACCTTACCCTAATTCTCCCTAGCTGTTTTATAAAATCAACATACCTAAATATTTTTTCTACACCCTAAATCAGTCTCATACACCCTCTTTCACCTCTCAAATCTAAACCTACCAAAGCATAACCAATCTTGAACTAACCCTAATTCCCCCTTCCTCAACCCTAAATATTTTTTATGCGCCCTAAATCAGACACACACTACCATTCACCTCCCAAACCTAAACCCATCAAACTATAGCTAAATCTTGACCTAACCCTAATTTCCTCGTGCTAATTTTCAAAATTAGCAAACTTAAATAATTTTTTTGCACCCTAAATCAATCCTATACACGCTCTTTTATCCCCCAATGCTAAAGCCAAGCCATGTGACTGAAGAGGAAAGTGCTGGAAGTCGAAGGCCCTCTAGTTCTGGGTGGTTATAGTCGCTCCACAACCTTCAATTTGACTGACTTGACATACATCATAAGGAGCCAAAAGCTTCGGTAGATGTGGTGGTGGCAACTATTTTCCTCCATTGTCAGTGGTGACATCACCTTCAATCATCAATCCTTCGGATGGTGATTTATGTATCTCGATTGGTTGCGAGAGTAGATTTCCCTTGTATCTTTTATTTGATTAGAACATCTCGTCTTTGTTCTAATTATTTTTTTGTCTCAAATTACTTTCTTGACTGTTCTTGCTAAATCTTCTTCAACCCCCACTTCTCTGATATCAAGGAAGCTCTACAAAGAAATCAGAATAGTTGGATCATTTTAACAATAGGCATGGGAAGGTCTTTTATATAGTAAAAATATCGTGAAAAGAGTGATTTAATCACTTCCAAAAAAAGCTTTATGAAGAAATGAAGAGGATCCATGACACCAACAAAATAATCACCTAACAATTATAAATCATACATGACTTCAGGAACTACTTCCATCTTAGAACGATCGAAAAAATTTAAGTGAGGGCAAAAGGTCTAGCAAACACAAAAAATGCTATCATAAAAAAAGAGAGAAGTAAGCTTACCTTGAAATGATGTAGATATTTTACATTGAATATTTTAAAATTTTGAATAAAAAGTGAGATTTTGAGTGAACAAGAGAAAAACTCTGCAACGTTCAAACCACAAATATTTACAAAGCAACATAGAGAATGAGGCGAAGGAGACTCGACAACTAAAGAGGGAAAAAGAGGATCAACTTTAGAGGTATCAAAGAAGCCAAGAGGAGGTGATCTCAATGGAGAATCAACCAATCCCTTGAGAAAACCTTTTTTAAGAGAAGTTGGGATCCAAATAGAACCTAATAAAATCATACAATAGCAACAAGCCTTTATCCCACTAAGTGGGGTTGGCTGCATGAATCCAATTTCTCCATTGTGTCTATACAATGTCATATTTTCATTTAATTCTAATAGATTAAAATAATTTTTTATACAATATGCCCATGTCTTTTTAGATCTATCTATGCCTTTCTTGAAATCTTGAAGTTTGCTCATAAAAATATTTTTGTGTCTTTTGGGTGCTCTCATCTAATTCTACGACAATTTTTCATTGTATTCTTTGCCTTACAAGTCCTCATTTTAAAATTCAAAACTAATAATCGATGTTGAATACTTAAATTTTCTTTTGGAAAAAACCTTACAATCTTTAAATTCTTGATGATCTCTTTTTCTTCATAAGAAAATAATCAATTTGTGTTTTATGAAATTCATTCTTATAATAAATAATATGACATCTCTTTTCTAAAATAAAATATTAGCAAAAAAAAATCATATGCTAATGCAAAATCTAATATATTTCAACTTTCTTTATTAATCACTCCAAAATCATAGCCACAACGAATATTTCTAAAATCTTCTACCACACTACCAACATGCCCATTTAAATCTCCTCCAATAAAATTTATTTCTTCGAGAGGTATCATTTGTATTAATTCTTTCAAGTCATTCCAGCAGTTTTCTTTTAAACCTAAATTTAAACTAATTTGAGAAGTATAAATACTTATAAAATTAAAATTTAGTATCGACAAAAATCTTTAGAGCCATAATTCTATTATGTTTACAACATTATCTTTCAAACTCTTATCTATAAGTACACTTACAACATTTCTAGTGCGACTCCTACCTGAGTATCAAAATTTAAAATTTAAGCTATCAATCTTCTCAGCCTTTTCTCCAACCTATTTAATTTCATGAATGCATAAGATGAATCATAATAATTAATAATTTCATTAATATACCTAAGTGAGTACTTATATTTCAAGATCTTATCCTAATATTATTTTTATAGACTAACTTTTTTGCTCGCATCCATCCATAATGAGGAAATCCTAACTTATTTGACATTACAACCAAGTGTCAGTGTAGCAACCTTTGCACACTTTTTATTATATTCAGGTTATACAATTCGTTACTTCCAGGGAACACCCTAGTGTTTACATATAGATTTAAATGATTCTTGTCATGAACTTTCAAAAAAAATTTATGCTGACTGTCGACTACCTAACACAACCCTCCACTTTTCACATATGAGGCTTTGGACCCAGCAATGGCTTTGTTAGAACCTGATGAAATCATAAATACAAGAAATCATCTAACAAAATTAAAGGAAGAGTTCAAGCATGACCTTATCCACAAACATTAGAGTAAGAAAACTAAACTACTATATGGGAGAAAAAAAGACAACATGATAAAAGCAGCCAAAAAAAAGCCAGAAGAAAAGATAATGACATACGTCAGTGCCAATAATATGCCATCGGTGTAAACTAACAATCTCGAAAATCCAAATGCATGTAGATATGAGAGGCAACCATGAAATGGCGTCAAAATGCCAACGCATGTTGCAACCGAAATTAGGGTAGACAACCACGATCACAACATGTTGATGCTCAAAGAGACAGAGACAAGCAGAAGCTAAGCAAAGACCACCCAATCTTGAACCTGAGCAGTTAGGGCTAACGCTAGCTGAGGTATACGCATGAAAGTGACACGTGGAGATGCATGCAACAAGAGAGAGGAGCGGAGATAACACATCAAAGATGCATGCGGTTGTGCTGAGAAGAAAGAGTTCGCATTTCCCCTCAATTCTTTGTGAAATTTGTTCTAGTATTGAAGGCTTCTTCTAGATTATTAATAGATGTCCTATTTTCATCTTGGTAGAATGTTTTGGTTCACATAGTATCTAGTTTTGGGTGGTTCTTAGCTGCGGTTCAGAATTTTAATAATTAAAAAAAAACAAACAAGATTTAATGGGACTGCAATTGGGTCAACATCTTAGCAACACTCTTAATTCATTCATTTTTGTTCAACGTGTTCAATTGACTCTCTCATATATTCAACATTCTAGAAAATGTTTTTTTTTACTTCTGCTCCGATCTGGATTCTTGGATTTTTGAGGTTGGGTGTTGAACAGGGGTGCTTCATAGCACGGATACTTGATTTCCCCATCCCGAAGTTCATGCAGTGTACATTAATATAAAATCAAAAGCACCCCAAATCATTAGTGTACCTAACACAACCCTCCATTGTTCAAAAATAATGTATTATCATTTGGGGTACATTATTTTTGAAGACTAAACTATATTTTATTAGTTACAATGCTACCACAAACTTCCAAAAAATAGTTATTTCTCAGATTTACTCATTATTGAAATGCTCTTTTGTTTCAAACATACCAATAAAATAAAATGGCATGGATATCTGAGCATTTAACAATAGATCACCAACTCACCTGTATCATGAACAGCGTGGCCACACAGGATGAAATTAGCTCTGTTGGACAGTGGACTTCAGTTCCATTGAATGAAGATTGGCATTTAGGACTGGGAACTTGAACAGTGGCTGCCTCTAACCTGGATGTACCGTGGTCCTGATATGGTTTATTGTCAGGTGCTGCATCAGTAGAAGTATTTCTAACAGCTGCTATAGCAGATGTGGAGACAGGATTTCCACTACTTGCGAGTTCTAAAGCTTCCCCAATTCTAACAAAAGCATCTTCTCCGTCTTTAAGGGCATGCATTACCTGAAGCACAATATAACTTTAAAAGGAACTGATTATAAAGAGTATTAATGTCAAATAAAGTGGACATTAGCCTCCTCTATACCTCAACAGCTACATCAACCAGTGTCTTTGCTTTGAGCCTTGAACTCTGAATAACTTCGAAAACATTAGATCCTGAATCATTGACAAAGAGTGCAGTGGGATTAAAAGAGCCCTGTTGTACAGAGGTCTCATTTGACTTGTTCCATGTAAGAGTAGAATTTCTTTCATAAGTGTTGCGCTGCCTTAGAAAGAGCAAAGCAGAAGCAACCTGAAATAAAAATAACATTAGTTCAGTGTAGAACCCAATTTTTTACAGGGCCCACAAAACTGAATAAACAGAAAGAAAGATATAAAGAAAAAACGATCAATTACGCGGAATAACATGCCTGATCATTGACATCTCTAAGTTGTAAAAGAACCATAGCATATTGTTTTCTAAAGTTTTCCAAATCTTTGATATGATCACCATTCTTTTGTTTAGTAGACACTTCTTCGTTCATTTGACTCAATTCAATCAGTAACGCCTCCTGTGAAAGCTCAAGAAAAATAACAAAATCTAAGAAATCTTAACGGCAGAAAACGGGGGCAAGAAAGCAGTGAAGCCGTAAAAAAAAAAAAAAAAAATCAAATATAATCGAGACATACAAAAACACAAAAAGTGTCTATGATTCATATATCCCCTTCTCATCTAACTTGTACCTGGACCTACACTCCAAGATTCAGCAGACAGGACAAACTATTGGGTATATTTACAAAAACCTAAAGAAATTTTGGATTCATTAAAGCAAAAAATAGCAATGCCAAGTAAAAATATTTAAGTTCCTAATCTTAACAACAATGATCTGTTTTGCCCAACCCTCCTGGGACTAAACCCTGCATTGGACCTTAAAGTTCATTTTCCCAGGAATAGTGTAAGTTGGAGTGACAACTGCTAATGTATATGGGTTTAAAAAGGCATCTGAAAATGCTAAAACATACAAGAAAAGTAGTACTTTTTACTCACTGAGCAATATAATTCTAGGAGACAGACCAGACTGAAGAGATGAATATATGATTATTCGAGCAACTAATGCTTCATATTGACACAAATAAACATTTAAAAACATTTAACATGGGAAGATTATGATTACCTTTTTATCAAGAGTGCGTGACAAATCTGCAAGCGCTCTAATGTCAGCTTCCCTAGCTTGTATCTGAGCCAAAGTAAACGGTTGACCATACATGGCCTGCTGTGCAGCAACAGCAACTTCATTTACAGCAGCTTTGGCCTGTACAATAGCATCAAGTGTGTCTCCCTGTCAGAAGTATTTTCTGTTAATATTATTCAGAGATCGAAGCTCTCAAAAAAAAAATGGCCATGTGGCTGCAATTTTAAATATAACCTTTGCCTGATTCATTAATGTATTCATGGGATAACTATAAGAGGAAACTTGAGGAGCTCCATCTACAGCCTCGAACCTCCCAGTAGAAGCAAATGTCAAGCTGTCTCTTGCCTTAAACTCCTTTTGTTCATCCAACCTTAAATCTGAAAAGCCACTACAGAATTTGTTGATGACAAGATTCTGTCTCTGCAGGGCTTCAGGAATGTTTTCTACTGGGTTCAATGGCATGCAGTCAACATCCTAAAAAAAAAGCAGATTGTTCACTGTGATTAAGCTAAATAAGCTACATAAAATGATATTTCCAATGCAGACAATTTCATAAGAAGACCAAAATCTAGATCAGGCCAAGGACAAGTAATATTCAAAACAGAAAATACACTAGCTATTCATTTGAGTGCCTAAGCATTTGTAGTAACAATAGATGGAAAAGATCAGATTATTTGAAGAGTTCGCTGAACTAGTCATCTCATGTGTATGAAACTGATATGAATCAGAAATGCCAATTGGCATAATAGAAAATAAAAACAGAAAACAAGATATTGACAATGATAGTATGGAAATCTGAAACTCGCCTACAAAACACAGCCAACATAAATTAATTAAAATCATAAGTTGTTTTTACACTTTACTAAAAGAAACTGCATTAATCCATTTGCCAAGTATTTCAAAAGCTTTCTTTCCCAATGTGACTGATTTTAGAACATTTATATCAAATATATAATAACCACTTCTTTATAAAATTTGTGAAAGCTATGCCTTTCAAAATAACATAAAACCAAGGTTCTTCCTCATGTTTCAAAGCCCACACTTCATCTAATCAAGGCGTGTGTTTTGAATATTAGAGTTTCGAAACCCACCCAATGGGAAGTGGGTTTGAAATTGCTTTAAAATCTTTCTTGGTATTTTTCTTTTTTTATGATAAAACCTAAAATCAAGTTTTTTGCAATAAATGTCTACATTCATTCCTAACCCTTCATTCAAATCTTAGATCAGATAATAAGATAAGACACATAACTTTGAGTTGTAGTAAACTAATACCACCTCTCTCACACACAGCATCTCTCTCAAGTCCTGATCGTCTCCCAAGATCACTCGCACCACTCCCATCTCTCCATGTATCCTATCATTCAATTCCTCTCCCAATCCCACCAAATTATAGAATTACGCAATATAAAAATGATTTGATTAAAGAAAAAAAAAAGTTGACAATTTTATATGTGAGATTATTTGGCTGCTGAGTATAATGAGACACTTTATTAATAATGAGTAGATTAGACCATCCATCATAAGATTTACGACAGCTTAACTGACTTTACAAAGTATTCATGAAGTAAAGATTCAATTAGAGTCAATGTTTAGTTCCTAAGCAAGGAATGATCGTACATGATCAGAAAAAAATATGAAAGAAAACAAGTGAAAAAATAATCGGATAATACTTTTTGGCAGTGTGATGGAGACTAGGGCTGTAAATGAATGGGAGACTATGGTTGTAAATGAACTAATGCACTCGATGAACAACTCAAACTAGGCTCAATTATGAATCAATCAACTTCGTTCAAATTAGTAAATAAATCAAAAAAATTTTAAAAGCTCGCAATGTAAATAAACTAAACATGAACATTATCGAAGTTGTTCATTTATGTTTACGAACAAACTTGTTTGTTAATCAATAAGTAATTTATTAAATAATCAATATTAAACTCGATGATAACTCCTATCATATGTGATATATTATCTAAATAAAATTTAATAAATTAGAATTTATTTAATTATAAATTTAATAGTAATAAATTATTATATAAAAAAATTTTTACATTAATTATTAATTCTATATTTATTTTATCAATATATAATAATAATTTATTTATTTATTTATTTTATTAAACTTTAGGTGCTAGATGTGAAAATACATAAAAATTAATTTTAACTCCCACAAACCCCACTCTCCCTCTAGTTTTTCACAGTTTTGCGTCTCCATGTTTCCAATGAAACATACTAAAGCTTGAGTTATTAAATCGTGCAATCACTGACGGCAATAATAAAACCGCGGCATGCAAGGATCTCTGAAGCTCTAGTCTTTCGTATATCTCCCATTTCCAGTCTTCTCACAAGTCTAACCCAATAAAAAGTGGTTTTAAGAAAGTGCAATGCACTTATTGTAAGAGTTGGGTGTAAACTTGGAAGTATGATATGCTAAGAAATGAGAGATTACATTCCATATAATCATGATCCATAAGTTATCTTTCATTTTTATAAAATTTATAATCGATAAATTAGTAGATGCAATTAGATTTGTAAATTTATTTATTCAAATTTTTTTATAAAAATCTAGATACTCATTTGAATTTTAGCTTGCTTATTGGCTTATTTAAATAATTGTTCACTCGTTATAAACAAATCAAATGCAAATCAAGTTCAAGCATTAAAAAATTTAAATAAGTCAAGCTTGAGCAATATATGAAAGTTCAACATAAGCTCAATCCAAACATGAACAACTTCTAATTATGCCAAGCCAAGTCTGAATCATGATATACTTGGCAAGACTCAGCTTGATTGCAGCCCTGATGGAGAGACCTAAAACCATAAAACTTTTAATTGAAGCGTTCTCTTGATGCAGAGACCTAAAACTATAAAACTTTTAATTGAAGAGTTAAGAGTGATTGGCAGTGAAAATAATCATATATAATGAACTTTATCAATGGTGATGTAGACTAGATAAAAAGAACAAATAGCAAAGAACTTCATGAAAAAAAATCAAACTACAAAGAAGCATGGCAAATTTTTTATAAGAATTAGGACAACGAATTACATTGTGATTTGCAGTCTGCTAAATAAGTTGTAAATCCTCTTTTTTTTTTTTTTGATGATGGTATTTTTAAAAGCTCAAAAGTTAAAACTGACTTGAATATATGTATAAAGAGAAAATAAGCTAACTTGAATATTTAAGAAAGTTAATAAATAATTTAAAACTTTCTAAAAAAAGAAAATGCTTGACATAAGGGCTGTCCAATTATCATGCAAAACATATTCACGAGTAAGACATCTATTTACTTTATTTAATATTAAAATTATGATTAAATTTGTTAATTATGCAATTAAGTTTATACTCATTTCATTTTCCTCACCCAAGATTTAGACCATTAATTGATCTACTTGGGAGATAGAACATTTGAATTAAAAATATGCGCAATTGGAGTCTTAAATCTGACATGTTCAGCTTCTTATTGTGAATAAAAATAAGTAAAAATTTTGTGTTTCCTGTTTTAGATTTATTCTCCTAATATTTTTTTTGTTTATTACTTTATTATTACATTGTATTTCTTTTTTTTTTTGTTTTTTTTGTTTATTACTTTATTATTACATTGTATTTCTTTTTTTTTTTGTTTTTTTTTGTTTTTTGTTCTGACTTTGGTAAGTTCTAATAGTAAGAATTAAGTTTGTTCTAGCCTATACTTATCATACAAGTAGGATATTTGTAATTTTATAATTAAGAAATAAAAGAAAATAGGTTCTCCACTTTTAAATAGGGTATCAAAGACTCGTTAAATTATTTCAGTCGGTGTCATTCGTCTTCGAAGCTAGCTTCATTTGTGTTCTAATTCGTTGGGGTCGTCTGGATAGCTGAATTTAGGGTCGTTCATCTCCTTTCTGTTCTCACGTGACCCAATAGCTGAAGCCCTTCTTGCATCGTAAACTTCAAGGTCGTTCGTCTTTTGGATTACAGAGGTCATTTGTTTCAGTTTCATTCGGTTAACGAAAGAAAGATCGACTCTGTTTAAATAAAATCCTCTCTGCATCTAACCAAATCTCTTCAACCACCCGACAGACCCTCCTCTGCTTGATTTTACATCCTCCAAAGCCTCTCTGGTAGTCAGAATCCTCCCTGCAACCGACAAAATCTCTACTCCGTCAACCTTCTCAAGCTATCCCTACGACAACCCTCATCAGAAAGAATGGTATAGTCCGTTTCTGATCAGCCTTCCAAAGGATCAGAAGCAATAGCCGAACAGGTCTTCCCTTATCCAACCCTATCAAAATTGAAAACAGTCAACTTAGATGATTTGCCTATTTTATTGATGACCGCATTAGAACCAGTTGGATATCACTCATAAAAAAAAATGTGAAACTGTAAAAATCTTTTAATTCTTTCAAAACATGTTATTCACTCAGTTCTAATACAAAAATCAAATCCTCATAACTGATAATGCAAATAAATATTTCATCTTAATACTTTGACCCCACCTTGCAAAGAACAGTAGCATCCATTTGAGTTCCGATGTTAAAACTCCATTACAAAATGGGATAGCTAAGAGAAATAATAGACATCACGTCGAGATATTTAGTGCTATAATATTTTCTCACAGTATCCCAAAAATTTTCTAGGGAGATGTTGTGCTCACATGCATCTACCACATTAAAAGAATGTCACGCTAGGTCCTTAGATTCAAACTCTCTTTCGATATTTTAATGAAAAAATACCCTCATATAAGAGTTTTCTCATCTAATCTTCTTCTAAAAATATTTGACACTTTTTTTTTCCACATTCACCAACAAAAGGGCACATAACTTGGCAGAAAATCCATGAAATATATCTTCCTTAGGTAAGCTTCTAATATAAAGGGATAAATGAGTTATTCTCAAAATACAAAAAAATATTATAACTCCATGGAGTTACTTTCTTTGAACACTAACTCTACTATCTCAAATCTGGTATTCAAGGGGTGGAGTGTGGGTGAATACTAGACTTGGGACACTACTCTGGATACCCACACTAACCTAAAGTCATCATAACATATTTTACGTCACTATAGCACTCTGGATTCTCATACTAATCTAGGGTCATCAAAACTCATCATCCTTTCCTCTAACAATCCTATCTCCGAAGTCCCACCAGTGGAGAACATGAATCTTCGTGTGTATACTAGGAGAAAAAAATTCACAGAATATGATAAAGACAATATGCAACGACGGATGCAAATAAATATTTCATCTCATATTTCATCTTAATACTTTGACCCCACCTTGCAAAGAACAGTAGCATCCATTTGAGTTCCGATGTTGAAACTCCATTACAAAATGGGATAACTAAGAGAAATAATAGACATCGCCTCGAGATATTTAGTGCTATAATATTTTCTCACAGTGTCCCAAAAATTTTCTAGGGAGATGTTGTGCTCGCATGCATCCACCACATTAAAAGAATGTCACGCTAGGTCCTTAGATTCAAACTCTCTTTCGAT